AATCCCTGACATTCTGTGATTCTGTGAAGTACAGTGATTATAAAGGAAACTGAGGTAAGCAGAGAACTGCTGCATTGTTAGCCTTCTACAGAAAGGGCTAGCATGTCACATTGCCACTGGACCACTAGAAGGAGTGTGGAAAAAAAGTCCCAGCATTGTTTTTCTAACAAAACAGTCATGTTTTTAAATTTGAGCTTCAGTATAGTTATGCTGCTGGTGTCAATCTGTCCACAGGTGTTAGCTGTGAACACACCTGGGCATGGTGAGCAAGAATAAGTGCATCCCTAGAAAAGCCATCTAACAAGCAACAGCTTTTGACAGTGCTTCTGCAAAAATATATAGACTGTAGTCTTCTTTAGCAGACCCAATACTGAGTGAGGTACCTAGCCTACATGTCAAGATCGTTTCACGCTTGTAAAGACAGCAAAGGACTTCTCTGAGGGAATTCCAGTCACTTCAGAGTACGTATGTGTACTAATATGTAATGCAATTAAAAACATACGGTGAAAACAAGGAAAATCTGTGGTCAGAAGCAAGTACTGTAGTTGTTTTAAATACTGCACCCCATGGATGTCATTAGTGATGAGATTATTTCTTTCTTCACATAATTTTATGGATGTGAAACCTTTAACTTTTACTGCTAAGGTATTTCTAGTAATTGAAACTGAAAAGGTTAATGCTATAAAAAATGTAATAAAAAGATATAACAATTATGAACTAGATAGGAAATTAACTGTGCAATAGAAAAAATGCTTTTCAAAACATCCATATATTTCTGTGGTGGATTGACCACAGAATTCAGACTGGAACAGGTCCAATGGGAGTGCTTGGGGGGGGATGTGGGGGGAAGGATGTTTGTGGGCAGTGTGGATGTGTGTGGGGAAATCAAACACTTATATTTTAAGTGCCAACACTATATTCTTTAGAGCAGTAATTACAGGATTACTGTCTTCTTTAGAAACTTTGCCAGTACAAGAACTGGCTTTGATGGCATCATGCAAAGTAGTATGTACTAAGGCTGGAGTGTTTTATGTCCTTACCTCATTCTTTCAATGTAACTTGTGTGGCTAGCGCGCCTTACTGTTTTAGTTGAGTGTTTGCATTTTGCCTGTTTGCATCACACAGCTCTTGCACTACTGAAGGACAATCTCTGCGTGTCTCCACCTCTAAACTGAGTCAGTTTCCCATTACTGCAGATTTCAAGACTAGAGCTAATGCTACAAGACAACATCCTATCATACAGATAATGCAGATAACAGATATACAGGTATACTCTCCTAACTTCTAAAACCTCTAAAAGGTGTAGATAGTAGGGCTCTCCTTTCATGACTATCCCATAACTTATTTTACAAGCCCACAAAATGCATTAAGAAAAAAATTAAGTCTTAAGTGTAATTCTGTCATACCCTCAGCAATTCGGCAAACACTGGACTTAAGCGTATCAGCTAGGTCATGGACTCCAGTGTCCCACAATTGTGAGCAACCATCCAAAAGACTCTTGGACGAAAATGATCTGCAAGAAGATCTATTTAGCTGTCCCAGACAGCTGTCCAGTCTCCTCCTGACAGCAGAACAGGTTGCGCACATGACTAGTTTCCTAGCTCTCTGTAATTATAGGAAAATTATTTTCCTGAATATATTTTGAGGAACTAGACCACATCTTGCACTACAAAGGATTCTTTACAAGCTTTAAAAACTTGATCTGTTCATGTTTGTTGATGTCTTTCTGACTGTCACATCATTTCTGACAATAGGACCCAAGTGTGAAAAACACTGAGGCAGGGAAAAAAACTTTTTTGCCACAGAATGTGGCCTGTTAAAAAAAATTGTGTCATTTTCTGATAGTGTTGAGTATGTTATCTCTGAAAGTGCCTCAACGTACATTATAGTGCTTATTTGTCCTCGTACGTACAGTGTCATTAGCACTTCTCTTCTTCCTGTTGTCTTTTTTGGAATAGCTGTTGATTTTGCACTCATAACACGCTTCAGGGGACAAAGCATTCTCTTCATCAGCATCTCCGTCCAGTGGCAGGTACTGGCCTTTGTTAAATCCCATCCCTGAGACACAGTGGCTGTTGAATAAGAATATCTCTTAGTTAATTCTTGCAGTTTTATGAACTGTCCTGTTAAATGCAAAGTGAGTGTATGTAATCTGTTCCACAGTGTCTGTATCCCCTTCCTTTCCATTCCCTCAGCAGGAGGTCTGTGCATTAATTTTCTTCACACAGTGCAGCATACTGAATGAAATACAACTGTTGGCTAAAGGCTTGTTGCCTTTTCTAATTTTCACTTACAAGTTTTACAGAGAAACAGAACAAAACCAGCCTGCCCTGAACTTTGGAACTAAAGAATTTAGTCATTGTCAGGTACCTCTCCTGATGCAGTAACAGTCCTCATTGAGCAAGTTTGTGAAGGAGTTCTTGTGCTGATACTGGGGGAGAAAGCAGAACTAATCATCTGGTGTTGCTTATATACTAGATTTAAAATGAGTGTCATGCTGCATGTACAGACATGTCTTTTTTTCCTACCTTACGGATATTATATGCAAAGGGAGCAGAAAGGATGACTTAGCAGCCTCTCCTTCATTTGTACCTCTGTTCTTCAGTCTGACTAGTGTCCAGCCTTTTTATAGCCTTCTGAATGTGTCCTTGATGAATGAATAAGTGGAAATACTCACCCTTGTCCAACTCTGTAATAGCCAGGTGGACAGCCACACAGATAACCACCCTCAGTGTTGGAACAACCGTAATTGCAGGGATTCTTGGCAGAAGAACACTCATTCACATCATGGCATGCACTGGAGAATTGGTCATAAGAAAATCCTGATGGGCAGGCACACTTGTAGCTTCCAAGTGTGTTGTAGCACGAAGCAGAGCCACACACATTAGGATTGGAGCATTCGTTTTCATCTAGTAAGCAAACAAAAGTATATTGGTGTCTTCTAATCTGACAGACATCAAGCAAGCATGATGTAGTTAACAAATCAGAGTATCTGCTAGTCCTAGGGTTCTGCTATATCCCTGACCTCAGTACCCCATAGAGACTTGGTCTCTGAAGAAAAAGTACATTGGGAAAGGTCCCAGACACATATAGCTGGGCTGTAAAGGTATTTTAGGATACTGTTATGTTAACCTTATATTGACTCAATGCACTCCCTTCCTTCAAAGTACATCTCCTGTTTTGCTTAGGGGTCTTCTTTCCCCTGGCAGGGTACACTCCTACCATGTAAGGTCCACAGAGGAGAAATGAGCTGGAACTGCAGTCATACTCCAACCATGATAGTGTTCCTAGCGATGGGGCAAAGTTAGCACATACTTGTAGTGGAAACCTGCAGGCTCTGTGAGGGGAAAGACAATCTAAATAGCCGATCAAAGCGACAGAGAAAAGGAAGCATGGTCTTCACCTTGTGGATGTTGAATTAAGATACAGAGAAGATGATTCCTTCAGTCAGCGTGTCTGACTTGGTTCCAGGCTATATTGTGAAAAATGAGCAACGAAAGTAGCTTGTTGTATGGAAGATTACACTTTTGATAGTTGGCACAAATTGCTTATTTTATTTATCTTACCAAGGTACTGTTTCCCTGCAGGTGTTTTCCTCTCCAATACCATTAGTGCATGCTTTACCATTCTTGCCTACAGTTACCAGGAGACACCTTCTTTTGAGGACTATCTATAATATTCAGACACTGTAGCTGGTTTGGAGTTTTGTGGAAGTTGTTCATTGTGTGTTCCTGTTGCTCCCACCCCAGTCCCTTGCTTTTTTTGCTGTAAAGCAGTATTAAGTAAGGAGTGATGATGGTGCCTGGGAGTTCAGAAAAACTGCCTGGTGTGCTAGTTAGTGTAAAATAGGTATAAAAAAGTAATTTATATGTCTAGGATCAGGACAGTAAGATCAGCCTGTAAGAAATGCATGGCAGTGCTCACAGCCATCCTCTGGGTGACACCATTGACAGAGAACCATGAAAGCAAACTTGAAAAGGTAAATACGTTGTTATGGTGCCTTGTGAACAGTACATGGTAGGGTTTCTTGTGTGTGTGTTGGTTTTTATTAAAAAAACCACAAAAGATTCACACATTTCATTTGGTGTAGGAGTTAGCTTAGTTCACAAAACACAGAAAAGGAATGATGGACTGAATGAACTAAACCTACAATAAAACTGCTAAACTGATTAATTTATCCCTGTTTCCAGCCCAAAGAATTAATTAGGAAACCTGTAACAGTTATGTTGCTATTTTTAATCCCCATTCACTATAGCTGCTATTCTGTTGTATTCTCAAGTTGCTTATGATGGTGAGTGATTCTTACTGATAAAAGGTGGGATTTTTTCTTTTCCTGTTGTGGTTTCTTTTTTCCCCAGCAGAGGTATTTATATTGATGCTTTCAGGAATTCAGTGAACATCTTTACACTTTCTAAAATGGGATTTTTTCTGAGAAGGAGGAGTCAGAGCTTAGGCCTTACTAGGAAAACTCCTGGTCATACAGATTTTCAACAAGATGAGCGAGTTTTCTTGTTTCTTTAAGTTGATGATTTACATTGGGAGTGATAAGTGTATGGAAGGAGGGAGAGAGAGGAAAAAAACATTTGTGAATGCGTACCCTTTGTCCTGCCCATTCTTGTCCTCTCCTGGCAGCTGTCACTATAAACACTATGACACCTTTGCTGTTTAAATGTATTCTGTGTTGTTTGTTTCCTTACCAACACATTGATTCCACTGGTAATGCTGTATATATCCTTGAGGGCATCCACACCTGTATCCACCCAGGATGTTTTGACAGCCATGCTGGCACCTATGGTTTCCATCACATTCATCCACATCTTTGCAATTAGGAGAGAAGTAGAATATGAAAGAACACACAATTACACACATTGCCAAATATGTTACCCAGTTTGATCATAAACACTGAAACATCAGTATTTATGACAGAGCACTACTGCTGTAAGATGGAAGCACCATTCAGCTCGGTCTTTTGGAAAGCCTGAAAGTCAATTAATGTAGTGTTCTTTCTATCTATCAGTAATCCTATTGGAGCTTTTGAGCCTTTACATTACTCAGATTTGGAGAAGACACACTGTTCCTAGTAATCCCACATGATGTTGCTTTGTTGTAATGTTAAGAATATAATTTTTTTGAATTTCAGTTTTCAAACCAACTGTGTAGGATTAAGCTTTCAGTCTCCTGGAACATATTGAAGTGTTTGAATATAAGGAATACATACCAAGTTTGAATGTAAGTGCTTACCTTTGCAATTAAAAAGAAAAAGCCATCTAAAAAGTCTCTGAGGTATGTGTAAATAAAGGAGAAAGTCACAAAGAAAAAACCAAAATTAAATAGAGTCTGCTATAAGAAGTAAGTATATTTTAAGCAGCCTAATGTATCAGGTACAGTATGCAGTTCTAGTATAAAATAAGAAATCATGCATGATATCATGGATTCTAAGTCACACTCTTGTTGTTCACAGTTTGACACAAACCTAATGGAACTGTGATGTCCCAAAGCCTGAGGTGCAGAAAACCATCGTGTCAGCAATTGAAAGCTGTAATTTTATCAGTAATGGCATAGAGCAGCTCTGATGTGCTAGTTGTTTATGGATCTTGTGAATGCTTTGATATGTATAATTTAGTGTTTTGTTTCATAGTTGCTGGGTAAAGTACACAATAAGGATATATCTACTTTATGAGAACAAAGTAATCTGACAGAAGATAATGCTTTCTAAAACTTCTGGCTGCATATTTTCTGCACTGTTCTCTAGAAACAGGCTCTAAATATAAATTCCTGTTTTAAATGCTGCATCAAGGTAGCTGACATTTTGAGATGTCATAAATTTGTGCATGTATACCTCTTGATTTCTAATTCCCAGCAGTCAGATGGCCTAGTACTGCCTTTTAATTTCTTCTTTGCTCAACATCTGACGCCCACTGAAGAGTCTGGAGCTCTCAAACAGAGATTTCCTGACTGGGGCTCCCTTTTGAGCCAACAGAGAGATGAAGCTCAGCAATATAATTTGTATTCTAACTGTAGTGAATTACCCTTCTGAATATGTATCTCTATGGTAGAAGACTTAAAATACAGAATTTAGAATCTAATCTTAGATACCCTCAAGTAGATGATTACAATTAGCTGAAACAAAAATTGTAGAGAAATTCTTTTTAGACTTTATGAAAATAAAAATGAAAAAGAAGAAACTAGTAGACTTTTAGATACATAAACCTATGTGAAGTAGAAATGGCAGCCCGGAAACAGCTGTTCAAGAGTTCAGGTAAAATGTAACTTTTTATTCTAATTTGTGTAACAATTACTCAGGCAGTGTGTTCTTACATACAATTATGCTTAAAATTACTCAAATAAATTCTTATTTCTTGTTAGTAGTTACTTTTAGTATGGCTGGTGCTCTGTTTTAGCTGCATTTGACATCACAGGATTCACTAGACACAGGAGTAAGGATTTGCACCATAAAAAATTTGACCTTCACTAGTAGTTACCTTCACAGTTTAATCCAGTAGAATCCAGAGAAAATCCCCTTTGACATTCACAGGTAAAACTTCCTGGGGTGTTTTGGCAAATTCCTTTTGATCCACAAAGCAATGGCTGAGAACCACATTCATTGTTATCTTAAAAAGGCAGAGGAGAGAGAAAAAGGTTGGTATACTCTGTGGCATGATTTTAGACATGTTGATAAAACATTTCTTAAGAGGCTGAAATTCACAGAGGTGCAACAGTTTATTTTGAAAATGTAGCGCTTCATATTTAAGTGTCAGATGACCTGTTGATTCATGCAGAGTAATTAATAAATTAGAAGTGCAAGTTGTAATTCAGTTATGAGTGCGAGAGACCAAGGTATGTAATTGCTTACAGTGGAAAAATGCTGCACTTTTGTATTAGCTGAACTAAAATAGTTTCACTTGGAAAGATTCATACATGTGCTTAAGATCTATAGACAGCTGTATCCATTAAAAAAAGAAAATGCAGTCTGTTTTTGTTTAACTACACTTAAAATCTAATTTTAATACTTTACCTCTTTGTCTCTCCATGTGGTTATACTTAGAATATAATAATATGTCTTAAATATGTACAACTGTTTATAAGCAAAAAAATACAAATGGTGGATAGACAGATTTTTCTTTAGCTACAGTTGTTGCTTTTCAAAATCTGTTTTCTGGACTGCTGATGTTATTGCTCTGTGTTACTGTTTATACAGAACAAAAGAAACAATTAATGAACATTGAGAATATTGTTCTTACAGAAAAACTGATGCAAGAAAACAAATGTTTTTCTTACCAATACAAGCTGTGTGGTGTTGTGTAAAACCAGGTGGGCATTTGCATGTGAAGCCTCCAAGTGTGTTGACACAGAGAAACTGACAATTGTGTTGTTTGGTTTGACATTCATCAAGATCTGAAAGTAAGAAATGTTGTCTTAAGAAAAGCCAACAAAAAAAGAGGTACATTTAGTCTAACTTGATAAAAATATCATACTTCAAAACTATTTCTTTTTAAGTCAAAGTGCAACAAAATTAGAAGTTACTGTGTATAACTTTACCTTTGCATGTCTTTCCATCTTCTTGAAGGATGTAGCCCCGAGGACATGAGCACTGATAGCTCCCCTCTGTGTTCTTGCAAATAAAATTGCATGGTTTAGGAGACTGGGAACACTCATCAAGATCTAAAGAGAGAAACTGTTAAGTATCTGTTCTACTGATTTTTTTGTCTGTCTTTGAATGGTGTTTTCTAAATAGAACAGTGTATTAAGTATTAAAGAGAAAAAATGCTTGGAGAAAAAGTCCCCAATTTACATTTGTTCAGAATTTCTATTTCTCTACAGATGTGTTGCTGTGGAGTTTCTATGGAGTTGCAACTACAGTGACAAACTGAGCGTCTTGAAAGAGTAATGTTATAGCATGACAGTGGCATTAATATTTTAATCTAAGGACTAAATATTTATTTTTGAGCATACTATGATATACTGTGCTGGGTTTGCGTTGGGCGGGGGAAAAAAAAGGGGGGGGAGGGCGCATTTTTTTTGGTAGGTGGGGAAGGGCCACCTTGTGAGAGCTAAAAGCTCCCCTGGCACCAAGGCAGAGACCCCCCATTCCAGGCTGGGCCAATGAGCAACAGAGAAATGATGTCTAAAGGTGGGGGTGAACCTGGAGGAGAGGCCATTGACCTGAACAAAAGCTGACCATCAGCCTAAACAAGGAACAGAGAGAGAGGTTCCTTGCCAGAGGAAAAGACAAAGACCCGCACCTAATTCTACCGTATGGAGTAGGAGAAGACAAAGCCTCCTGCAGCCCATGGAGATTCAACAGCAGAGCAGAGACCCATGTGTAGAGCATGGAGGACTCCAGGCTGGAGCAGAGAAGTTGAGCCTGAGGCCAAGTGTGACTGATCTGAGACCCCGAGAGTCGCTCAGTGCCAGAGTGGTGGTGGACCCCCAGAGTGGGCGGTGAGTGGGGAAGTTTGCTTTGGAACATCTTGTTCCTGGACCTCCATGCCTGGAAGAGCAGCAGAGGTGAACTGACTGTAACCTCCATTCCCTGTCCCCTGTGCCACTTGGCGGGGAAGGTAGGGAAATAGGGAGCAAAGTGATTTGAAACTGGGAAGAAGGGAAGGGTGGGGGAAGGTGTTGTAAGATGTGGTTGTTTTGCCTACTCAAATGATGTGCAACAAATTAAATTGATTTTTCTTCCCCAAGTTGAGTCTGTTTTACCCGTGACCATAACTGGTGAGTGAGCCCTCCCTGTCCTTCATTCCTAATCCTGTGCCCCCTTTGTTGTGTCTCCCTTCCCATCTGACTGGGTGTGTGGGGGGATGAGTGCGGGACCACATGGTCCCACTGTGGGTCAAACCACCACATATACTTATATGTGTTAACCAACAGGAAAGTGGGAAAATGTAGACCATGAAGTAATGAGCTGGTTTCTCAGTCAAAATGGTTATACAGCTGTAATGCATTTTAGTGCTCATTCTACTGCAGGAATATTGCCAGTACAGCTTCTTTCTTGATTTCCCCAAATGAAATACCAAAATATAAGTGTGTATTAGGAAAAGAATGATAGACAAGACATAAAGAGAAAAAAACTGCTTTGATACAAAGGTTTACAGAGGTTGAAATGTCATTATGTACCAATTATAAAAAAAATAACTGAGGATTAAGATGCTGAATCTTACCAATACAAGATGTGCCACTTATGTCAGTGGTATAGCCAACTTTGCAAAAGCATCGGAAGGAGCCCATGGTGTTAATACACTGTCCATTCCTACACAGGTTTGGCATGACCTTACATTCATCAATATCTGTACAGAAAAAATTAAATATGTCATCTTTTAAATTTTCTTTTTCTTCTCCTCCATTTTTGCAGAGTTCCTCATCATCATGCTTCCGATAGGAACTTTACCCTTTCTTTCACTTTAAAAATGGATCTGAATTCAAAGTCAAACATCCTTCAAATTTTCATTATTGTTTTTTGTATCAAAACCTTCCTGCTATTTCACTGGGTGATCAGGTTCCAGTTTTGCTAACTCAAAATAGAAAATCCTTAAAGTGAGTTTTCTTAGGACTGGTTAGATGATGTCCAAAGTTTTTCATCACAATTTAAAAATGTATGTCAACTTTTGCTTTCTGTGTGGAAATAGTAATTGCAAAGCGATCTCTACTATTACAGTGAGATTCTTGTGAGAACAACTGTTGTTGCCTTTCCCATGTATGCAATTTTTCAGTATGCAAAAGCTTTGGGATGATTTCTAGCTTTTTGTTACTGGTTGGTACCTCCTGTTTTAGATCCCAACCCTGAAAATTCTGCACAGCTGTGAGTATTCTGGTTTCAGCTACTGTTTAAAGATGGTTTTAATTTTTGGTCTCTCAGCAGCATTTGAAAAATCAAACTCTGTTGTTTTGCAGGAAATTCTTCAAAGAAACATCAAAGAGAACTCTGCATTTTCTTAAATACGAGCATATTCTTTTCCCCTTTTCTGCCTCTTTTCATCCCTACAAATACCTCTTCCATCTGTAGTATAGCCTGGTCCGTGTGGACAGAGTTTCTTATATTGGGTGGTTCCGGGAACTGGGCAGAGCTCACACTGGTTACCCCAGCCCCGACCTCCATCACAGCAGCACTCAGATTTAGTGACAAGATTACGGCTGCTTGAAGCCATCTGACACATTGTCTGTAAAACTTCAGCAAAGCAGAACCCTTGGCGATTATCTGTAAGGGAGAAGGAGAGAGATCAAGAAAGAGTAGGAGACAACATCTGATCCATTAAGCATCTGATGCGTTATTCTAGCTCTCTGTCAACACATGCAAACACTGGAAGATTATTAGCAACCAGTCTGTGAAGTCTATTTTGTTTTCTGATAACCTCCCGACATTCCGAGTGTATTCCAGACATCCCTGAAGTTCAGTACTTGCATGAGTTGAGTACCAGTTTTACTTCCAGGAAAGCTGTGCCCTGGGACATATCTGGTGAGCTTGCTCCATAGTAAAACAGGCTGCAGGGGAAACTGAGCTTCCACTTAAGCCGGCTATGTTTGGCTTGCATTTGAATGATTTACTCAGAGTGCAGTTAGAAGTTTGTTTGGTTTACTGGCCAAAATAGCATGTCCAATCATCTGTAATTATCTTAATGTGGTTTAAAACACAAAATCCTTAGCACTTGAAAGTGTCTGTGCAACTCAGTACTTTTTCAGTGGCACTCCTAGTTTTTGTTGGGAAAAAAAATATAAGGCCTTACTGTTGATCTGTTCCTTTCTAATTCAGTTTTCCTTAATTTTTAACCTTTTGGTTAACACCTGTCAATCATGAAAAAGGAGCAAACTTCTGAGTCAGTAAGCTCCTACAAGTCTCCTTCAAACACGCAGCTGCAGAGAGCAGAGATCCCAGCTTCCAATGCTAAGGGAAACTGTAAATTTTGCAGAGATGGTATCATCTAAATAGGTTATGTCACCTGTCTTATTTGTTAATTAAAATGGAGACATTGTTAACTATGGTCTGACACATGCTTGTTTTTAAATGAAAGATTTTTTTTTTTTCCTGTTAAAGCTAAAAGTTCAAATCCTTCAGATCCCTCAGAACGTGTATATGTATTAACATCCAGCTGACCTTCTCTTTTACAAGTATGAGGAGTAGCACCTGTACATTTCTTACACGAATCAGGCAAAATGCAAACTGGCTTTAGGCAAAACTTACTCTGGGTGCCCCATAACTTAACTGTTTACGTCAAATAAAGCAGTCCTTACTGAAAGGGCCAGCTGTGTGAGACAGCATGTTTCCTGTAGCAATTTGCAACACTCAGCAGACTTCTCCTAGGTAGGGATATTGTGGAAGTCTTTATGCACATTAGGACTTGAAGAACATATAATGCTTTGTGCACAATTTGAGGTGTGGAATAAGTTTTAATGTGAACAGAATATAAAGGCTTGCACAATATATTTATAATAATGTAATCTAAGATTTAACATTTGTGCTTTAATTCTGAAGGAATACTCTGTTTCTGCCAGACTCGTTTTTTATTGTAATTTCTGACCCAGGAAACCATAAAGAAAAAGCAAACTAATTCAAAGCATAGTTTTTAGAAAATAGTAAGAAATAATATTAAATATAAGAAAGCAATAGTGACTTCCAAGTAGGGTATTTCTTTGACATTAATGACTGTCTGGTGTTAACAGATTGCAGCATCGTCTTCCCATCTGGGCTTAATACTTAGGAAATACCCTTCACTTCCAATGTTACTGCTTTGCCATGAAGTCAATGCAGACTGATGACAATTTAAAGGGACATGGTTTCATAGTACTTACCTAAGATAATAGAGAAGTATTTTGATGCAAGAATACTAATAAATACTCATACAGTTTCAGTACTGTAAAACAATTTGAAGGATCTACACTTGAACAGTGGTTATGAAAAAATAAAGTTTTGCAGTTCTGTTTGATTTCTAAAAAGGGAATAATTAATTTTATAGCGCAAATGACAAGTCTGAACATACTGAAAAGGAAATACAGGTTGATGAATATAATACCTTTCATCAGCATTTAATGTGCAGAACTGCCTCAAAACTTTTTCATGTATCTTGCAATTTTTGACAAAGTCCTAGTATTTTGTGTTCATAATCACTCTCTGAATTAAAGGTACAGAAAATTTGTATGCCTAGTTGCAGTATTGTGGTTAAGACTGTGTTCTGAATATGCAAACAATTTTGCTTTTGTGCCACAGTTTCTGATCTAGCAAAGGTAACTAAATTCTGCTTCTTCTTTAAAAATACCTGTATTTTGTCTGGATAGTTTCACTCAGCAGCCTATTTATGTCCTTTGGAATTTAGACACTTCTATGTGAGGCCCCTGATTGCTAGACTCAGCTGACATTCTCAAGATGCTTCTTATTCCTATCATTATTTAATATAATTGTTTAATTAGTAAGGATCATTATTTAATTTCTGTAGATATGAGAGCTGTTAGATACTCAGAAGCCTAATTTACATTCTGCATCCTTTATACTTTATTCATGTAAGATGAAATGTATATGAAAGAGGCATTTACCAAGACACTCAATGCCTGATGGACTTGACAGGAATCCTTCGTTACATTCACATCGGTAGCTCCCAATAACATTCATGCAACGACCATTTTCGCAGATACCTGGCTTGGTGCGGCATTCATTTTCATCTTCAGAAAAATACAATTAAAAAAAAATGGTTACAAGAAAACACACCAGACTCATAGAATGCATTAATTATTCTGCATAATATTTGCAAGAAGTGGAAAATCAACTGATTCAGCCTGGAAATGACTTTGCTAATAACACTATCCTATTCCATTCCTTATGTACTTCGTGGGATGAAAGCTTTAATCCTTTTATGTTCTTTGCAATCTATAACAAGAAGCAGAAAACATTTGCAGCAGAACAAGTTCTAGGCATAACTTTTACCTGGTAAGTTACATATAAATAAAATTGGAATACATGCATGATTTAAATAACAAATTTTCACTTAGTAATCATTAAGAGTCTCTGAATACATTTGACCTCTTCTGCAATTGGTCACATTTCAGTTTGCACATCATTTCCCTGAAACAGTTTACTATCTTAGTGTATCTTCTTCCATAGCTAATGGCACAGATACTGTAAGCAACTGCACACCTTTATAGATGCTTAAAATAAAACCTCAGGTGATTTAAAGGCATCATTACATGACTAAAAAGGCAAAATTCTTGTGAATATAGATTATTTCCCCTGAAAAAAATAATAAAGTATCTGTAAAGGAGAGTATAGTCATTTGATTGCTGAAGGAACACTTTTAAAATACTTTAATTTAAAGCATTCACTGAGATGGAGGTTTAGGGTTTTTTTTTATTCCTCTCAGCCAATGACAGCTTCAGCTACTTCTGTCCACAGAGAACTTTGGAATGGTCTTGCGTTTTTTTATGTACCAAAACAAAGTATAATTTGCCAAAATGTAGCTATTGTTTTCCCCTCAACTGATTGAGAAAATGATGGAGAAAAGTTGTTTGCTGACTTACAGGATGCAGAATTATTTGCAACTACGGCAGTTTCCTCATCTTTTGCTCTTCATGGCTTTTATATGTTGTTTCAGAATCTTAAAGTTTTAATTCTTTAAGGAACTGCCACATTATTTATAAACAGTATTAATGTCAATGGAAATGTAACTTTTTATTTATGATAATTTTGCTTCCTACTCATCAAATGAGATCTTTTTTGTTTGTCAACTTAATTTTTTAAATCTAACAAGTATCTGGAAAACTTTCTGATTTTGTTGTACAACAGAAGAAACAAAACCAGCTTTTCTTCTGAAATACTTATTAGACATTTAGAACTACTTTCAGATGAGGCTAAAACCTTGAAACAAAAAAGAAAGTTTAAGATGTTTGGCATCATTAGCTATCTTAGGTGTCCTTTCTGAATTGCTATTTTCTAGTTCACTATATCCATATACAGAGAATTTTTCATTTGTTTGCTTGTTTGTATTTCAGTAGATGCCTTCTTCCCTTTCTAAGCTTTACCTGTGCAGCCTTCTCCATCAGGTCTCTGGATCATTCCAGGAGGACAAATGCACATGAAGGTACCAATCAAATTTTTGCACATCATGCCTCTTGATTCGCAATCATGGAGACCTTCAGCACACTCATCTAAATCTGGAAAAAAAAATAAAAATTGTGTTTGAACTTCCTACCAGCAGCTTCAGTTACTGAAGACAACTAGTGCTTTCTCAAGAAAAAGGACATACAGACTTCCCTGAATCACTGAAGAAAAATCTGAGACCTATGCTTAACTGCAATTGTCTTAACCTTTGGGAGCTGTATCATCTTGTCATGTTAAAGATGAACTTCACCACTGGGACCTTCTTGGTTTTACAATTCCCATTAAGGGGTACACTTGATAACAAGAACATTAGATACTGGTCTACATGAGTTCTGCAAGAGTAAATCATCATCTGCTGGGTTGTTTGCTACCTTCCCTTGAGAGGATGAATACAAGATGCACAGACATATTTGGATTATTTTTTGGCCAATACAGGGTGATGGAAGTTGGGGAAAGGTTTATATGTCAGTCATTACCTCTGCACATCTTCCACTTAGTTCATAGCCGACTGGACATGTGCATTCATAGAAACCGTAAGTGTTGATACAACGAAAAGCACACAGCAAGGGATTCTGAGCACACTCATTTATATCTGAACAGAAAGGAAGAAAACAATAATTCTCCACTATTAATTAAAACAATTTAAAATAATTAAAACAATTACCAATAAGGTTTTCTTATACCTGTGCTTCTCTTGTCAGCTAAAAAGTATCAGAAATGTAATAATCTAAATGAGAAACTTGTGGATGTTTGGTTTTGCCAGAGAAAATTCAACAAAATCCTGCTTAAAAATAATGGCATAATAAACATGGAACTACTTGAGCTTAGAATGACAAGTTGGAACAGGCTTATTTCAGTTTTTTATTATATGATCATTTTTTAATGAGAGATGTCAACTTTTTTCTCAACTCTAAAAAAACCCCAAACACTTGCTACAGGAAGCAAACTAATTATGATGCATAAAATACAAAATTTGTAAGAAGCATCCTGATCAGCATCCAATGAGAGCAGAATGGTTGTACACAAAACCCAGCCTATGAAAAATAATAGATACTTAATGAAACTAATAGGGGATTAATTTAAAACAGATGATAGAAAGTACTTCTCTAAATAGTGAAAGTAGTGACATTCTGGTTCTTGCTGCCATAAGAGGCTGGGGAGGCAGATGGTATCAGCAGATTCAGGACTGTATGGGACAGATTCTTAGTTAACAGATCCAGAAGTGGATGCTAAACCCACCCTGCAGGGATCCATCACCTAGTTTACATCGTACTTTCCTTATATCCTCAGCTCTTGTATTAGAGGAGTGAACTGCAGGAAGCTGTTAGGCATGCTTGTATGCTGCATTAGCATTTCAGCTGTGACGGATGAAATAATGGACTAGATGGACCAGTAGTCTGACTTCAGTTTGTTATGTTCAGTATAAATCACTTGTTACTATAACTGTGATGAGTGGGTCAGTTCGTAACTGCTCTGCCTCAGTTATGAAAAATGCTCTGCAAATTCAGGCATTTTTGCCACAGTTAGCAATACCATTTATGAGGATATTTTTGGGGGCTCAACAGTTACTTCCTCCCTCCCCTATTCCAACAAACAGCTGATTAACATAACATATTACAGCATACAGTTTGGGAAATCCTGTGATAAACTAAAAATACTGCTTAAATCAATTCAGGACTTCTTTTTCAATTACATATTTTAAGCAGAGAAACTTTTTTTCCTCCTAGTTATTATAGCACCAAAGGCCTGGATAATAAAGTAATCTGAATACTGAGAACTGGACAAAAACTAAAGGAAAAAAAAAATAAAGGGGACAAGTTACCTTCACAATTCATCATTGGGCCTGGCTCAAATCCTTCATGACAGTTGCACTCAAAACTGCCAATCACGTTGGTGCACGTACCATTTCCACATGGGCTGCCAATTGCACATTCATCTGTATCTGTATATAATGAATAAATGCAAACTGAAGAGAACTGGGACACATTTCAAGTTGTGTTTTAAATTCAAGTGTTACAATTCTTGTAATTTATGAAATATGGACACACCAATGCAATGTACTCCAGTGTAATCTAAGTTGTATCCCATGGGGCACTCACAGCGGAATGACCCATCAGTATTGATGCAGTGACCATTTGAGCAAATCCCTGGGCTTTCAAGGCATTCGTTGACATCTAAAAAGCAGGAAGATATTGCCATCATTTAGATAATGTATTTCTGTATCAAGTCTTTAAAAAAAGCATTTCAAAAAAACTAAGCACCCCATTCTGTTTGTCTCTAGCCATGCAATTTCAAAATAATCTTTTAACTATAATTTCATAATGGTCCACATTTATTATAAGTCAGCCTCTTCTCACCTGGGGCTGCAGGGAGTAAGCCATCACATACTATAATATCCAAGTCCAGTTTTAAGTATAAATAACTTTTTTTAATTATCAGGAAAAAGAATACCTACCTTCACGTGTAGCATCAATTCCAGGAATTGTTCCATGACCATATGGACACAGGTCCTGAAAAGCAACTGGAGAGGTATGTTTATTTTTAAAAAAAGTGAGTGAGAGAGAGAGAACCATGACAGATGGTTAAAGCCATCCAAAAATCTTATATATCACATTTTTCCAAACTGTCAACTGTTTAAATCACAGTCATTACACTGTCTGGCCAGATGCAAACGTAACTGTCTCTAGGTCGGGGAAGCAGCACTAGAACTCACTGAGCTTCTGCATGCATGTGCTTGGTGCCTTCCCCCTTCTGTACTTGGAGAAAACCAAGAACTGAAAACTGTTGATTACTTCAGGGATTCTTGGCACTGTCCCATTTTGCTCCTCTCTTTTGCCTAAAGCAGGCTAGATCTACTGATGGAGGCTACTAGTTAATTTCTCTACAGAGCAAAAACAACTCCATATTTCTCTTTCTCTGAGGTTTCTTCTATTTGATTTTGTTCCTTTTGTTGACCTGAAAATGGTGCTAGAAAAGGCCAATAACAGAGAATGCCACAAAGATCTCTACTTCTAATGATCAAAAAGGTACAACAAAAATATGGTCTTCCTTTCTTCCCACCTAAAAAGGCATTATTTTAATTGATATGTACCTTCTTCTTCCTTTGGACAGAGCTCACAAGGATTGCCCCATCCTTCTCCTGGCATTTTACTGCAGCAACATTTTGCCTTTGTGGTGTTGAAAGCCTTTGGCACTGAGCATTTCCCATTCTCAAAGTTAGTGAAACAGAAGCTCTGGCGAGTATCTAAAAAACAAAATATAGTTATGTGAAGCTAGCACCCCCTACCTGGTTAGATGATGACTGCCTAGCCCTGAAAGGAATAATGTTAGGCCTGTATTTTCATACTATTTTGAAAGCACTTTCCAGCTCTCATAAGGGCATAGTTTGGAAGGGACTTGCAGAGGTCCCCTTTTACTTATTCCACAGAGTCTTTGATATCTGTTAGAATAAGTTATTACATTCCTTCATCATTAACTTACCAAAACATCTCCGTCCATTATCAGACAGCACAAAACCTGTAGGACAGATGCACTGGAAGCCACCTGGAGTGTTCGTACAAGAGCCAAAGAGACAGATGTTGGGATCCTCATTACACTCATTAATATCTGTAAATTAAAGGAGAAAAGGTTCACTGTAACAACCTTGGCTGTGAATTTCTTGGTTAAGAAAGATTGTTTATTTATTTATTTAACTTCAGCAGGACTTATCCAATGAAGCACCCAAGAGATAGAGCAGCCTGAAGGTTCCACTAACTCTTTCAAATTATTTCAAATGTTGGCATGGATTTTCCTCTCCAAATGCCATTCTTTTCTTTGTCATATTTATAATATAAACCTTAAACAAATGCTTTCAGACTAAAACACAAGAGAAGATATATTTCTGATAAGACAAATATTTATCTGGAAACATAAAACATCCAAAGATGAATTTTTTAAAAAATCTGTATGTTGGGAGTTCCTTGTAATTAAAGGTAGGTTTTTTTCATGCTGATTTACTGATTATTGAACTGAAACTGTAGCTAGTTATTAGTGTGGTAGTTGCTAATATACAAAGCTCAGCAATTCAGCTGCATTAGTGGGATGGAAAAACTGCTCTTTTGAAGTACTGATTATTACTGTAAATAATGGTTTAGGATTAGTTGAAGAAACTCTGTGGCCATGATTAACAGGTCACTAGTGAGACTGTGCAAGTAAATGAGTCTTCTCCCCTTCATTCCCATAAAATGAAAGGAAATATATTACATGGGCAGGTGAAAAATAAAGAATTTTTGTGTGACTCCCATCTGTTTTGTTTTCTCCTGCATATAATCACTTTGAGCTCAAAAAGTAATCTAGCTGTTGCCAACCTTCACAGTACAGAGAGAAGTAATGAATTCTTATAAAGCTGTTTGCATATAAGATCCATAGAAAGTAATGGGAAACATATGTTGCAAGAGCTGTCATAATATTAATCAAAGTATTAGTACAATCACATGTGATTATCTAGGCATTTTCTAGCAACTTTAGCTGCAAATTTTCTGGACACATGGCAGAATGTCAAAAAGAATGCAATAAGTCCCTTTTACTAAGTTCAAGCAAAAACGTGTTTGACAGTCACTGGTGCTGTCAAAAACATCAAGAGATTTGGTCAGGATACTAAAGTGGCCATAAATAGCAATATTCCTGGAAACCCAAAAGGTTTAATTTTAAATTAATTATTTTACAACTGTACATGATTTGAATTCATATCAAACATAATTGCTAACATGGAAACAGTAGTTGCCAAAACAAACTATGAAGTTGGCAGGCAAATTCAATATGGTGGCATGATACAAAAGGATGAGAGAATGCTGGGGCTTAGAAAATACATCCTATTGTTCAATACAAAAATTCAAGAAGGTTCCTATGATCCAGTTCCTGCACCCATACAGATTAGGTGGCTGTAAGCCAAATATTTATGTCCTCAACAGTGTTTTCTTCAGGCCATACAAGAACAAGCTGCTCACTTATTATTGGGAGCTACTTGGATGAACGTGTGTCTGGCGAGTCACACCAGCTAACTTCAGTCATTTAAGCTGAAAACCAGGTTTCTTAATATAGTCACAGTGGAGAGACAGGTGCTTAGTCTGTCCTCTAACGATGCAGAAACACAAGGCTTCTAAGTTAGCTACCTAAAACTACTTGCATGCACATTCCTTATCAGGTGCCACATATGGTTAATTTAAATGCCAAATAAATTCACAGTAGTCCTGTGCTTTGCTCTGCTGGAAAAGGGAAGTTGTAACTTGGATCATTTCTCATTCTCTGCCACACCAAATCTTAATTCATTGTGTGACATTCAGCTCCTGAATGATATTTAAGGGTTTTAATGACTTATATTAACAAACAGGAACATGCAAACTGATGAAAGGTCTGCTGTACCCTCTTCATCCTGTGAATCTCAGCTCTCGAGAGACATTATACAAAACACAAAATCAGAAAACAGCTGTTAGAAGAAACCAATTTAAGCAATTGTCCTCATAAGCTCCATAATTTTACAAAGATTTTTAAACTTCATAGCCCTCTGAAACCAGAAGCTTAGTTCATGCACTGAATGCCAGTAATTGCCTTTCTGTAAACATCTTATAAACCCAGTACACCAGCTGCTTTGTTTTATGAATGATAATAAATTTAAAAAAAAGCACAAAGAGAATGAAAGAGAAAATACATTTTTTTTGAAAATTATTTTTGTTTACATTTATGACGAAGTTAATGTACAAAAATATAGTACAATACAGTACAAAATATCTTGCCTTCCATTTTTAAAACCTCTTCATGAAGATTTTTCCTACTTCCTGTCACCATTACTTTAAGTCCAACAACGCTGACAAACACGATGGTGTACAAGTACTTTCCACCAAATTAGAACCAGATAGTTTTTCTAATATTTAAATTGTTCAGAAGCAACTATTACAACTTGCCTTACCAATACAACTTTCACTTTTTACTTCATATCCTGGTGGACAGATGCATCTGAATGATCCTTCCAAATTTTGACAGGTACCAGGAGAGCATGAACCGGGTAGTGCCACACATTCATTAGTATCTTTGGAGGGTAGATGGAATCAAGAAAGGTTTAGAATAATTTAATTCTTATGGTAACAAAACAGGCTTATTAATGAAAAAGATTGTAGGATTCTTTTCTAATTTTCTCTTTCTAAGGCATTTAAATGCTTCAAGATGAACAACTATTCCAAAACCCAGTTACTTCTACTGTGTTTTCATTGGTCAGTCTGTTTTTGTTTTTTTTTTTTTATACTTATATACTAAGACTGTGGTGCTTCCCTCTAGATGGCAGCCAACAGTTTGATTATTTCAGCTTACCAGTACTTTATCATCTCCATGTGGTATCATACATACCAATGCAATTCTTCCCATCTAAAGTAAGTTCATATCCTTCATTACATAAACATTTGAAGGAACCAATTTCATTGAAACACCGTCCATTTCTGCACACCTGACCAAAGAAGGAACTGCACTCATCGATATCTGTAAAAAAAACCCAAAATAAAACCTCAGAAGTGAGAGTTGAGTCCCAATATAATATATACAGTATGTTATAAACACACTCAAGCTGCAATATATATTTCTGTGGAAAAGGCAAATCTTGCAGCAACAAGGGAACAGCTGACAGCTAGTAGAAAGTAACTCTCACTCAAGTGCATTAAGGTATATGTTCTATTTAAACAACACTTTTTTTATAGGGTATTATAATTTTCAAACTTGCAGCATTACCTCAGCTACTGCATCTGGAGACAGTCAGTCACTGCCAAATGACTGTATGATATAAACTCCAGACACAGAAAAGAAAAAGTTACATGGAGTGTTCTGGATTTTATCTGGATTTATATGTGCTTGAGTCTCCCTCTAAAACCTGCCTTCAAATTTTGGAATATGTCATTTGCTTTCAGCAACCTGAAAATGAGGTTTGAAAATGCTTATTAGTTTGTAGAGTTACTTTAGTAATGCAGACTTAAAGTAGCACTGCCTAAGGAAAAATACAGATAAGAAAGTGTCAGTATAAATGACAAGGAGATTGGATAAGCATTATGGTGTAAGAACAACTTACACTTCCCTGTTTTACAATACTTGAATTTGAATGATGAAGACTAACACCAGTTTTATTGAAGAGGTTTTAGTCTTCTTCGGAAAGCATTAAGTACCAGCTCCTGAAAAAGATGTACCTTCTGCTTCAGCCAGTACAGCTGTGACTGTGTTACCAGTTTATTCCATAGTGCATTTCTTCTGTGTTACAGTTCTGCAAGCAGAAATGCCTTCAAAGTATTATACTGTGATGGCCTAAATTGTTTTGGATGACTGGGGTAGTTTAGAAGAAAGCCCTGAGGCTCTCCAAGCTGTCAAGAGGAGATCTAACAAAAGGCCAAGCCTCTAAGTCAGATGGGGCTCCTTGGCCTCCCTGAAGGCATAGCCTGGAGCAGAGGCACTGAATGCTCCTGGCAGTAGACTGGCAGCTATACTGACAAGGGAAAGAACCACCTTGACAAATAGTGCCATTCTTTTGGCAGCATACTGTTTGTACTTGAACAAGTTTTTAATTTTCTCTTCCCTGGACATCTTCAAATACTTATTTAAGAAGTTTTAGTTCTCTCCTGAACCAGAAAGGAACCGGCAGACTTTGTTCTGTCTTCCTTCTGAAGAAGGAAGCAATGTAAAACCTATCCCTCTTTTGGCTTACACTCTGCAAAAGGGAGAGGATCTCCAGAGACTTATGAGCCTGTTCTTCAGACCAGGAAGATTTTCATTGCTTTATCACAAGTATCAGGAACAGGAAATAGTAATGCCTGTATAAACTCTGTATAAGCAGAGTTCATCTTAGGAGAGCAGATCTGGTAGATTAGTTGTACTGGCTTTCTTATGGCTGGTCTGCTTCCTCTTTCACGCCGTGTGCAAGTGTCAAGCAATAGGGTGAAATAAAGAAATTATTTTAAATTCATGAGGCAACACTGGTGGTGTGATATAATATACACTCATTGTCAGTGGTGCCTATGGCCTGTGCTAGCAGTCAGCGATGTGTGCCGTAATTACCCAGGAAATCTAATGGAAGTTAGGGCTGCATTAAAATGTCAGTGAACTGTGAGGTTGCCCCAGTGGTCCAGAGATTTAGAGTTTACATTACTTCAAGCTGGGCAGTAAAAAATATTTTTAATTAGTTTAAAAAATGACAGTAATGATTAACCTCTAGGGATGGTAGCTATCAGTTACTGCACTTAGCACCCTGACCTGTCTTCTGTTTGAGTATATACCATCCTTCTTGGCACATCAAGCCAGCAGCACTGAAAATAAAGCTTGGATTACATCACCTACCTATACAGTCATTATTATGAGTTAATTCAAATCCTGGATAACACAGGCAGTTATATGATCCAACTGTGTTTTTACAAGTTCCATTTCCACATGGATGGCGTTCACATTCATCAACATCTGCAAAGAGAAACAAAATTGAAGGAGTTGATTTTCCCAGGTATGTGTTGATATGTTATCTGTGCACAGTGACAATATTCTAAACCTCAGTCTCTCCTTTCATCTGTCACATTTTCTATTTATACTACTGATGTTTCAGCTTCTGAGTACACAAAGGAAAATGTTACATGACACATTTTTATATGTACTTTAAAGTAAAAGATACTGTTACATTCAAAGATAAAAGTGCATGTGCAGTATCTCAAAGCATTCTATCTTTTTATTTCCCATACTAACATTTCTTAATGTACACTAGTGATCAGAACTTAGTACAAAGGATTGAGAATCACAGCTCGAGAACGATCTCAGATTTTATGTACATATTTTAATCTTTAGCCCATAAAAACCTGTTGAAAACACTCTGTGAGCAGTTTTGTGTCACTGTTCACAAGTGAATTTAAATATGTATATATATATTACGCTGATACTACATCCTGAATTATAAAGACTGCTTAGAAACTCTTGGAAATAACCATTTTTAAAAGGCACTAAAACTCAATGTTTCCTGCTGTGTGTTTCAGTAATTTCTTGAGTTTCATGGGGATCTGGAAGGTATTAGATCTTGTTCTCCTAGTTCTTGCAGACTTTCTGAAACATTTTATTTCTTTATAGATGATACACATTTTGTCATATGGATCATTTCCACAACGTATCATCCTCTAGATTTGTATGTTGTACTATGAAATTTTTAGAATTAGTTTCAGAATTATTTAAGTTATTGTTTTGAATAACCAGGCTCTCAAAATTTTGCATTGTTAACACAAGTCACTTTCCCAAATATTGTCCTCAGATGGTTTGACAAATGTGATTTTGTTCAAAGATGAGAAAACTCAAGGCATATATAAATATATGATACAATGTGAATAGGTTTAAAATGTCTGTTTAAAGTTAAAATTGGAATATATCTATGTTATAGAAGACACTCAACTCTATAGCTTAGAATGATATTTAGATGAACATTATTTCCAAAATCAAAATAATTTTTTGGCTATTTTTCTCAAAGAGAATCAAATTCACATATGCATCACCTTTTCATTTTAAAACCTTATAGAACTGATTATAAAATACTAAAAGAACAAGAAAAACACTCATATTTTGCAATCTTACATTTCTTATATAATTGGTATCATGTCATCATTTGAATACAAGATAACTATAGATTTAAGTTACACTAAACGTGGGATTCTGTTTTTTAAATGAAACATGACCTCAGTAAATTTCTAAATAATTGAAAAACGTGTCTTCTTTTTACCTCCAAACTCTATCGCTCTGTGGTATCTCCCATAAACTTCTCTGTCAAATAAGCCACTATGATATATTTTTGTGAAAATGGGGGTAATATACTCTTCAGTAACATGGAACTATCTGTGAGAATACTGTGATTTTTTCCCTCCAACTAATATATCCATTCCAAGGACAACTTCATATACTTTATTAAAAAACATCAAAAAATGTATGAAACAGTCTTTTAATGTCACTATAATCTCCGCAAAAATTTAGACTCATCTCCTTCCCCTTAAAAAAACCCCAAACCAACCCAAACAAACCACAGAAAAAAGCGCTTTTTTTCCATACCCATGCACATAGTCTGATCTTGGGATGCCTTAAAACCATTGTGACATATACACTGGTAACTTCCTTGAATGTCCACACATAAACCATGACTGCAAACATTAGGAATTTCCAGACATTCATTGCGATCTATAACAAAAATATAAAACAGATGGTACACATTATTGACTTTTATTATTCATTCATTTTACACAAACATGTTTTTACAATCTGTTATTATTATTAAAGCCAGACTCAAAATTATCCATAAGTAAGCCTGAATCATAACAAAACTGCATTTTATAGGAACTTCTTGCCTATACACTTCAAGGTCAAAACTACTGTTAGGATCTGGTTGATACACCAAGAATGTTCTTTAAAAATTTTACCCTTTCTTTTCTTCCCTTCCACAGAGAAACAGGGCTAAAAAGTAAAAACTGTTACATAAAACAGCAGAATACACAAGGTAACAGAAAGTAAATGATGCTTTTACCCTTTGAGAGAATCAAACACATACCATTGATTAGGTACAAACAGATTCAAACAGACGAGAAAAGTCAACTGATTTCTTACCAACACAGGCACCATTGGGTGAAAGTTTAAAACCAACAGCACATTCACAGCGGTAGCTACCAGGACTGTTGATACAGTCTGCATTTCTCTGACAGAGATTCTCTCCATTGCTGCACTCATCAATATCTGAAATACCAAGAGTCATGGTTCAGACATCAGAAACCACAAGGTAAGTTACTCCTGTCTAGAATTTAGACTGCATTGTCCATATTGAGCAAGAAAGAATCTTGCACAAGATGTTGATGTCTTCAACAAATTGTGAATATTCTGACCTTCAGCCTCCTGTGCTGTAAATCAAAATGAAAAGCAAAATCGATACAACTGCATCCACAATACACTTTTTGGAGGAAGAAGGATCCTACAAATCCAACTTACTGCACACTGAAGTGGCTCTGCAGTTTTAAGCATCTGCCTAAAGAAATTAGGCTTTGTATTAAAAAAATGTTCCTCTTTGCCTTTGAACTGAAACAGTAAGTGGCACAGTTTGTTTGCTAGTTTTTTAAGGTGCACATGTCAGCACAAGACCCTTGAATACCAATGACAAAACTACTATTGACTTCAGGACATGCAAAATTTCACTTTTAGCTTCTATGAATATCTCTACCTATACAACTGTAAAAGAACAGTCACAAGACAGAAAAAATCAAGGAAAGTTTTATTTAAGAAGTTTTAACAAGAATTACATTTCCTCCCTAAAATAAAATTAAAGCATTTAATTAACTTCCTATTTAGGAGTCAATTAATTGTTTGACACAAAATTATTACAGATATTATTAAGTACATGCACATATGTATTAAAGACAAACGACACAAACTGATTTATAGACTTGAGCTCTACAAAAAAGCTCAGTCTGTCTCTTAGATTTTGGAAAACATGTGAACAAAATATTCTCCTTCCCTTTAAGATAAGCACACCTATGGGGCTATGTAGAAAATAACGTAATTTCAAATCACCTTCACAGACCAAGAGCAGGTCATTGTAGCTGAATCCAGTGGGGCATTCACAGCGGAAGCTGCCAATCTGATTGATACAAACACCGTTCGCACAGATTCCTGGGATTTCCTTACATTCATCAATGTCTGAAAGTGAGATGAGCTAGTCAAAGTACAGTACTTCACAGCTTTACGTACTGCTTGGATTCTCAATTTGACTGTGCTTAAAAGTGAGCTGAGAAGTTCCTTTTAAGCTACAGAAATTGTATACAGGATACAATTCTAAAAATACACCCATTGTGAGAGAAAATAAACTATGGAAGTTCAGAAAGTGATCAAAACAGTAATATTAAATATTAGGCAAGATGCAGAACTGTTACAAATGTGCAGATATGTCCCACAACATTTTTTAATCCAAAACCATTTATCTTACCAATTAAAACTCAAACCCATGAACTAGGATGGAGAGTGAGCAAAAGATCATAACAAAATGTAGAAATAAAAAAATATAAACTAGAAATATTTACACAAAAATCAGTCTCACAATTTATGTCACCACTGTAACTCCATAATTAAATTAGAATTTTATTATATGAAATGTTAATTTTGGTACCATTATGCAGCTGCAACAACCTTATGCACAACAATTTTTAGTTAAAGTAAGTTTAGTGAAACTTACCAACAGCTTTTCCAGTATGAATGTCAAAAGTGAAGCCAGGAATATTCCCACATATGTTCTTGAATTCATCTAGAGCAAAACAGAGAACAATGCATTTTTAGTGAATATTTATAAATCTCCCAAGAATTACTTGTAGTCTTCTCAGCTTTACAAGAGCTGATACAAACCAAACCTACTCAGAAGAGCCATTGTCTCCCATATAAATTGTACTGAAAATTCAGATTGCAAATAAATGAATGCAAATTGAAACAGTAATTCATACTTTTATTTTATCAAATCTTTGCAGACTTGTGCACATGTGCAAGCGCCTGGTTTGACAAAGCAGCACTTCAGGTTTTGTTTTAAATAGAACTCCTTAACTTACCTTTTAGGATTATTCCTGCTTTCCAGACAGCAATAGAGAGAATCTGCATCAACAGTTTCAGAAAGGAGAAATAAATGTAACTTACCAGTACCTAGCCTTCTTTGGTGATACTATCTCTGATCTTTTCTGCAGAAATTATTGCAGCTTAGTTCCACTAAACTGTAGAGCAGACTGGACATTCTGCTTTAAAAAAGACGTTCCAAAAAAGAACACTGCTTTAATATGCTCATTTTATATCCTCTTTTCCAGAGCACCTTGAGGATGGGAAATGCACAGTTTAAGGTATAAACCCCATGGCTTTCCAGGCAAGGTGTATGAAGTTAAGTGGATTTGCAACATATAGAGAAAAATTTCTATCATGGAATCTATTAATTGTTGCAGGATGTAAGAAATAATTAATTTTTTTTAAAAAAGTATTTCTTATAGAGCATCTATGTTGGCATCAAATTTTCCTGCTAAAACAATGTTTTTCAGAAAAAAATGTATTACACATTTATAGTACATTGATAAATTCTGATCTAGGTAAAAATATGAAAAATGACAGTCCTACGATTGTAACTGTGTCAAATTTGTAAAATACTGACTACCAACAGAATTGTGCACTGAAAGCCCACTTGTTTGAGGGAAGCAAAATAATTCCAATGGTTTGCTTTGAGCATGAGCTTGCAGACAATAACCACCCAGCTGCTATTCATCATCTTTTTAGATCATATCAGTATTAAGATTCTCCAGAAAAATAACAAGTATCTTTCAATATTAGATTTCCAAACTATTGTTAAGGAAAAATTCCAGAGCATGCAGTAGATATTTGTACATTCAGCACATTAAGCCAAGGTAGAGAACATGGACAAAAGTTACAAAAATGTCCCATTGACATAAAATTCAAGGGGATTCTGGAAGTGTAATATCTGGAGACTTCTGTCAGTGCTTAGTCCACTGTTCATGCTGCTGAGGACCTACAGGAAACCTGTTATCTATCCAATGAGAGGAAACATAAGGAGTCTACGTTTAACTCATCTCTAAACCTGAAATGCAGACAAATTATTAGGCATCTCTTCTATCACCAGAAAAAGAGAAAGGAGACCCTTCTGTTTTCCTGCGAGTAATGACCTTTAATCTAGAGTGGCGATAGTTTATTTCTCTGCTGGCTGTAGTCCGAGTTTCTTGATCATCTACATTTTAATGGTAGCTCTTCATTAGCTTACAATTTTGTAAAGTTTAACCACTGAGGTTATAACTGGAATCATTCTTGTCTCCCTTACACTAACCATTCTTATTTATCAAAATGTCAGCAAATGTAGTCGACCATTGCCCAGAGTGAGATCTGCCAAAATATTTTTTTCACTTTGAAACATTCTTTGTTATTTCCCATACAAGCCAAGAAGGATCCAGTATACCTGAACTTCAGCATTTTCTTCTTTCTTCTGTCCTATTGTTTAATGACTGCTTAATGTCTACTGAGGTTATTCTTGCGGTACAGAATACTGGGCCACGGAGTTCCACAGTGTTTTACCACCCAGCAATTTTCTGCCCTTTTATATCAACATGTACAAGATTTGAGGGTCAGAAAACAATTTTTTCTGCACGGAGCTTTATGTCATTTATGTGTGAAACACACAGACTAGATAAAAAGGGAGCACTGTCGTCACCACCCTGTCTCCATGGGTGACAATAAACTACTCCTGTGATAACGCCTTATAAATCAGGTCTGGGAGGATGAAGAAGAGGCTCTGAGGGTTGCAGACCTCCTTTCATTCTGCATTATGCTACCTATATGTTCCATGCATTCAATTTAAAACAGTTTTTCCTTTTTTTTTTTTTTTCAGTTTATATGGTGTAGAAAAAAAGCATATAATTAGATAAGGTTTTAAAATAGTTTTTCCAATTTTTTTCCAGTTTATATGGTGTAGAAAAAGAGCAAATAATTAGGTAAGGACTGTATAATAATGCATTTATACACAGTGCCAAATTATCCACATACAAACACGACAGAGATTTACTTTCTGAAAGCTTGACTTTGCATCAATGACTTAAAAAATATTTCAAAAGCCCATATACTTATCACTGTATTTTTTTTTAGGACGCAAAGATCTATCACGTAACAGGGAGAAATGCTCTGAGGTCAAGCACCCCCCAAATGATCAAACTATGAAAGAGTTCTGTAAATGCTTGGTTACCTTTTAGCAGTGAAGCAGCTTTTTACAAACAAACAAGAACGACCCTTTGTGATTAAGTCTGTATGATAATGATTATGACCTGTATAACGTGTAAAACCAAGGAATACAGTCTTTACTACCTAAAGTCATCAGACAGAGACTGATTGTTAAGCATAAATATATGAAAAGGAAGAAAGACCTCTGTTCAGAAAGGAAAAAAAAGCAAATGCATTGGCATGTGAATTTCATTTAGAAGAACAATATAATTCTCATCAGAGCAGAATAATGCTCTTAATGAGCTACTGGGCTCAGTCTAGCAAACTGGTTAAGGTCAGTGTATCATAACCCCTGCCTGTGATGTGTATCCCCCACCCGTATTTCAGAACAACCGATTATACCACATAAATACAGCTATTCAACCATTTACACCATTTACATTTGTGTTTGATCCCTCATGCAATCTCTTTTAGACGAGCTAACAAGGCAATATTGAAATATTTCAGGAAACATTTTAACCCACAACTGCTTGCAGACTGAGTGGAGTTGTCTTAACAAATCTTTAAAACCTGCAGAAGTTACTGAGAACTTCAGTCTTACCAATTTAAAAGAAGAATTCTTTCTTTCATCCAAGAAGATTAATTGCATGAATCTCTGCTAGTACTTTCTTGTATTTTTCTAATCAAGTTGTCTTCATGATGATAATTTTATGGTACTGAGATAAGTGACTACGGGAAAGCATTTTATGAGCCATCTGTGACAGCCAACATGTATTTCCTCTCTCATGCTTATTTCCAACTCCCAATCCTGACTGCTAGGAACAGCCTTCATTCTCCCTACCCCTACTTAAGAAAGAAAAGCAAGAAGCTGTTTTTCTTTTCAGTCCCATTTTCCTCCTCCTTACTGCTTGTGGCAGAAAGTCTTTCTTAAGTTATCTGATGTTTCTCTTATGCCAGTCACCAGGATAAACCACTTGGAATGAAAATAATACATTCTTTATATTAACATCACAAATGATGCAGCACCAGAGCTGTGGGTTTAGTGGCAGTAAACATGGGGCAAAGTAAATTAAAAAATTAAATGTATCTGTACTAAACAGGCATCTGAGTTTTATAGTTTTATCTAGGCAGCTTTGCTCTTTTTACAAATGTAAGAACCTTTTAATGAAGGCCAGGTGCTACTGTCAGGTTTCCAAGTTGGTGATTTTCCCACCAATGATTTTTCTGAGTTGAGCTTTCAAGAGTGTTTTGAAAATTGACTACCCTGGAAGGCAGATGGGGCACCAGGCACCTCTTGTCAGCCAGTATCTTTAACTCCACTATTACTGCCCGATGACTGCTTTTCCAGAAACCTCAAAGTGATAGCTTAAGAGATGTGGTAGTTCTATAATCACACATTCAGAAAACTTGCTTATACCTACTGTGCCACCCTGGTGGGTCTTACCTACACAAACATAGATTGTTGACAATATAAATAACTGAAAGTAATTCTACATCCATATAAGACCTCTGGTATTTGTTAGGAAAAAAGCATAAAACAACCACAGTATACTCATTTTATAGAGCCCCATCACCAAAAAAAAAGTCTAAATAATTAGATCTACCTACAGATACCTGTCGTACAAACATCCTTTTAGTTACAGTGCTGACATAATCCTGCTGCTGATGGGAAGGCCAGTCTGTACTTTCCAGGCCTTTTTATTTATCTCAGTGACACTTGGTTTTTTCCCTTTCCCTTGCCTTCAGGGGCAGTTGAGAGGGAAAATACGCATCTTCTTCCCGATTGTTTTTTCATCCAGAGGGAATGATTGCTGCCTTCAAACTTTTCAAGCTGTATATTTCCACTCAATATGGAGTGATATTTCTTCCACTTGAAAATACGGAAGAAATACTTATTCTTGCTTAGCACACCAAAACTTAATCCAGCCAGTGACAGGATGGCAGGGTACTGTCACTCTGCTTTGGTACAGCAAGTTTTTTTGGGGCTGAAATGTTAACCTTAGCTAGTAGGTCAAAGGAGCAGATGACCAAAGAAAGTAACAAAATTGGATTATTATAGTAGTTTTTACCTGTTCCTGGAGTTGGACATGGTTCACAAGGTTTGTTCCAGGCTTTCCCAACATTGTATGTGCAGCAACACATCCTTTTGGTCACATTGAAGGGCAGTTCGTTTTCACAGGAGGTTCCATTATAGCTTCTGTAGCAAAAGCTTTTCCTCATGTCTAGATGTGAGAAAATAATCACTTTCATAGTAGACAACAAGCTAACTTAAGTAAATATCAACCCTATCAACCTAGACCGTGGTTCATTAACTCTGGCTTCTGAATGCAACCCAAGCATATGAATGGATGCATTTAAGAATAATTTGAGAACTGAAGTAATCTACAGTCTTTGTTTTAAGACTTACCTGAAATTTGAATATTTTCAGTTTTCATTCAAAGATACAAAGGGAAAAAAGGAAAATTCCCAAGAAATCAGAAAAACACTGTAAAAGCTCATCAGATCCATTTGTATAGTAAACCCTACCATTTGGAAATTACTAGTGAAAATAAAAAAAAAGCTTTCTGAGTTCTGTTAAGGAATAAGAGCACTTGAACACTGCACCTCAGTCACTAGCATCTCTTTCCTGGCTACATGACATAACTGTCTGGGAGATAAAGGTAGGAAGCAGCAATACAAGGCTTTAGAACTTGTCTCATCTAAAAGGAAATTTTTAAGCAGAGACTGGCCCCGGAGCAGTCTGATATTCAGACAATTCTAGTAAAGATGACATTTTGCATACCCATGCAGTTATGTCCTCCATTCACCTGCATATATTCAGGTGGGCAAATGCAGGTGTAGTTCCCCAAGGTATTGTAGCAGGTGCCAGGACCACAGACACCAGGATGTGCAACACACTCATCAATATCTAAAGATCAAGTGAAAACACTACAATTAGCAAAGGAAAAGAGGACCAGGCCCTAGCAAATGTTTCTAAGAAATACGACCATAATAAACCATGCAAAGGTAACAAAAATGTTTCATTTAAAGGCTAGTTTGGAAAGTACAGCTCCGATTTCAGTTACGTAGCTATTGTAACACCTGCTGGAAAGCACAGTTGTTAATCTCCATTAAGTCCAGCCAGTGAAGTGCAAGAGAACACCCTAAATAAATTCAAAGTTGTTGAATTTATCACTGAAACTGGAGCACCTTGTGTCCCATCAGATCCACAAAAGATATTCACATCCTCTCCTCACAGGAATATTACTGTCACTTTTCTGTTCTGTTGTGTTCACCACTCCACTGAGAAATGACATTTTTAGTACTCTATTTAGAAATAGGCAAGCTGAATAATCACATAGTCTTGCTGCTCTAGCCTTGCATCTCCTTATTTAAGGTATTTGGGTTGTAAGCCTTTTTTGCCCATACAATTTTAATTTCGAGCCCATTTTCTCCGTTTTCTTCACCCCAAATTAGGAAAACCTCAGGATTAAAAGGCTCTGTTTTGAAAGGAGATTTTTTTTTTTTTCCTCACTAAGTGAATGAAGAAGGGGAATCTGGCTTACACCACTTCAAACTAGGAGAAAACATGAAAGATTCTTTACATTTTTGGGTCTATTTACAATTTTTGGTTCTAACACTTCTGACAAATCTCAAACACAAAAGGCAGACCAATATTAACTTTACTTCATGTTGCGTAAATTAAACTACATTGCTGAAATAGTGTAAAGAGGACACCTTTTCTCACATGCAGAGAGCCTAGTGAAACTAGCAGGAGATACAAGTGTTGAAATGAGAAGATGGAAATCATGAATAACCACCTTAGTTTACTGAATACACATAGCTGAGATCTATAACGTAGAAATAAATATTAGTATATTCAAATGTTGCATTTCAAGTTTGCTATTAATCATATCACTGGTTCCACAGATAATTATTTTAGAGAACATTTTAGGTAAGGGTGTGGGTACCATATCCACTTGTGGATTTAAGGCTAAATATCACAGTGTTTTCATAATAACTGCACCGTGATAGAGAAGGAGATTTCAAGGGACTCAACCTTCACAGATTCTTGTCTCTTCACTGAGGTAGTAGCCTTTTGGACATTCACACTGGAAGCTGCCAAAAGTATTGATGCAATTTCCACCTTGGCAGAGACCTGGCAGTTCCTGACATTCATCAATGTCTGAAAACAGAGAAAAAAACCCACCATATTTTCATTCTGTAATGAAAAGAAACAAGAGACTTTAAGTACTCCCCTGAAATTTTACCAACTAGTAGCTTTTACCTGACACATGGCTTTTTTCTTTTGCTTCTAAATTGCACTTCATGAAAGCATGGATGAGATGCTCATTCTCTTAAATTTTAATAGCTTTTCAGGAGCACATTTCAGCTTGATGAGCCCATGAAGTTAAACTTCTACTACTGTTTACAGGAATTTGGCATCTAATTCCTCATTCCTGCACACTTATTGGAACCAGAGTTTCTTTGTCCAATGAATATTTCCTGAAACTTATACCTTCTACTGATAAGCTATAATTTTCATAAATTACTTATCCTTTAGGGGCCAATTTCAAAGGCCAGTTCTAGTAAGGAGGCACACAAAAGGTATGCATCAGCTTATTTGCCTACTGAAATACTGTTGGACTTCTTCAGTCATCTTTTACAGTATGCCTTTTCATCATGTTGTTGTCCAATTCATATCAGCAGAGGGTTTTGCTTTGCACTAAGTATAATTATTACTGCAAAATATAGTTCCTGTATACATCTCTCTGAAGATGATCTGAAGATGACTTTTTTTTTATTACCAGCCATCACAGTAATTTACAATAAACTCACCTTCCAAAATAATAGTGATGGGATTTGGTCTGAATCCTTCACCCCCGGGACAGAGAGTATTATATTCCGCTGAAGTAAAGTATAACAAGAGAGAGCATGTCAGCTATACGAAGAATAAAATGCTAACAATAGAAACAAAATTTCATTAGTTTTTTAATAAGTATTGCTCCATATACTCATTCGTTTTCTACTGTTCTTGACCCATTCACAGTAAATAAAGCAAGTGCATTAGATTACTAGAAAATCAAGGTAAGATTAAGAGTTCTGCGTTAAACATTACCATAACTTCAAATACTCTTAAGGCAGGCACTATCCTGTGTCTTTATAAAGGCACATATTTTGTTTTTTGACTAGTTCTTTAATATGAAATGTCAATATACCATCAATAAGGATATATCTTAAAACTGGAATTCATATTATTATGAGACTGTTAGGAATAAGATGATTTGACATTTCTGTTGCATTATTAATTTCAAGAACTTCAAAGCTCTACAAAATTCACAAGCATCATTGGGTAACAGTTTTGAAAGTACTCAGGAGTGCCACAGAAACAGTTACCCAACAGTTACCAACACTCTTCTTTGAGAACTATTGCAGTGCTCCAAATTAAAGGCATGATTTGAGTTCCAAGTATTATTGATTTCTTTATTTTCCTACCAACATGGAGCTGCTGAGTAAAAATTCCTAGCAGATGCATGCAATCCATTCCACTCTTAAGACGCATAAGCATATGCACAACTACTTTTTTTTTTTTAAAATGGGGAAAAAAGTAAAAGCAAAATAAAATAAAGTGCCCCAAACTACCCACAGTACATGGGCCTGATCCAGTGGAAAGTGTTTTCTAAAGTTAGCACTGATTTATTACTGTGAGAATAGGCACTAACTCAGTCACAGCAAGACTAAAGGTCTTCTGATACTCAGGTCCATACCTCTGCATTACCCCTTTGACAGTAGCAGGGAGATTTTATTTTACACTTATGCCAGAACACTGCCTCATGAAGAAAATCAGTTTCTTATATGATAAATGTATAGTAATACACGAAAAGATTTCAAATACTTTTTATATCCCTTGTTAGCATCTTCTATAATAAGAAGGCAGGGGGAGAATAAGAGAACATTTCCTTACTGCTATTTACAGGGGGACACGTCTCGCAGGGGTTTCCCCAAGCCTTTCCCAGAGAGCAGCAGCACGAGGAACGACTGACTCCAACCCCAATTTCAGTGTTGCAGGATAGACTTCCATCCCCTCGTGGTCCATACTTCAGGTAGCAATTGCCAACACGGTTATCTACATATAAAGCATGTATGACTACAGCTGCACATAATGACTGGGACAAAGGAACAGCAGGCATTCTTTTTCACATCTCATATCTAAAAGCAAAAGCAGGAATTCAGATAATACTGTGCTTTTGAAGTCACTGGCAAGCTCAAAACACTCGTGTACATTGACAGTTACTGATGATGTTGAGAGAGACAGATGGGAAAATGGTTAGTTTCAGCTTCCCAAGTACCCAGAGATGAGTTTGCATGTCTTCCAAAGTCACACCATTCTCCAATGTAGCACATACACTATTCTCAGACTTTCCCTCAAGAAATTCCAGAAACCTCCTGCAGTTTGCTGTTAGTATTTCTTTCCACGGTCTGACTGTGATTAGGCTATGACTCTTTCTTGTGGAATTACAAGAATTTACATATTTTTCTATGGAATCTTAGTCATGTCACTGGAAGAACTGTTCCACTGGCAAAGAAATTCTCCAAAAATGATTGAGGCAAATCTAAATGTGCAGTAAGGAAGTTTATTAGTTTGCTCAAACTGTAACTTACTGATTTAGACAACTGCTGGCATCAGTAGAATGAGCAAGAGAAGTAAAGCTATGAGTTTTCTTACTGCTGCACATACTGCCTCCTTGTTCTTTATAAATGGAAAGGAACTAGCAGTGAGTCACAAATACAAGGAATGAGAAGACAGTAAATTATTCTAATATTTCTTATTACAACCAAAGAAGTTGAACATTAATTTCCTCGAGTAGTGTTATAATTCTAAAGACAATTTATGTGAATTAACTTGCTATCAAATTTTGCCTCTAAAGAAGCACAGAAACACCAAATTTTTTTTATAAATTCATTGTATAAAGGCTGCAGTATCTTTTTGCATTTTTACTATTTCTTTTAATGGTATGACTAAGAAACTTATAAATGAATTTTTGAATTATTTCCCAAATGTTTATTTTACCAAGAAATATCACAATTTTAATTTACTGTGACAGATGCTACAGCATTACCAATTTACATGGAGTAATATGAACACAGTATGATAAATATGTGTAGTTCATACTTCAAAAATTTCCAGAGTTTAACACGTCTTGATACGACATGGGTTTTAAAATTATCCTATAAAATTATTTTTCATACGTCTATGAAAAAAACTTGAAGGTAACTTTCTGAATTGTTAGGAACTACTTGTTCTCAAGATCCTCAAGTTAGTTAAATATGTATAATATAAAAACACAACTTTGCATTAATTTTTATATTCTTTTTTTTAAAGGATCTTAACATCAATCAAGAGAAAACATTCAAGATCTCCAAAGGTTTAAATTTATTAATATTTAAGCATTAATAGACAGGTCTGGATGAATCTTTCTGCACAGTTTTAAGAGCATACTGTAGTAGAGATAGTGAAAAAGGAGGGTGTTCCTGGGCTCCACATATTCTATGGCAAATTTGAGTATCTCACCATAAATGCACACTGTTGTAAAGCTAAAATACTCAGTTAAGAATTGAATGGTAAAGGCGTATATCTTCTGCACCCCTGAGCCTCTGATGGAAAGAGAAGAAACTTCAAGCAGGAAATCTTTCTCTCTCTAGAGGCAAGATCTGCCTGAGATCACTGATAAGCATTTGATAGAGTGGAAGTCCTTTTTTTTTTAAGCCAATGTTAAAAGACAGTAAAATGAATTGCTTTTTTGAAAGGGCACATCCTGTTGTTCTCATTGCGGACTTGAGCTGAAACAACTCAAACACAGTTAATCTGAAAATACCCATCTCCTCCTGTTCTCAGAGGAACTGCATGCTTCTCTCCATTTGTGACAGTATGAGACATCTGGTTTTTCTGAGAGGCCAATAAGAGGTTTGGCTTCATTCTTCTTGGGAAAAGTGCAAAACAATGACCAGTTTGGAAGATTGCTTCAGCCCAAGACCTCAGGCCCATTACGAACAATAGGAGACAGGAGACCTTGGAATGAAGGCAGAGCCTGCAATTCTCTAGCAGATTATCAATATTGAGTTGATCAAGAGTTTTAGGTTTCAGTTTACCTCGCACATGAACTGTGTTGACACAGCACCATGTTCCTCTTTGCCAAGAATAATATTTCTGTTTCTTCTGAAAGGAACTGTAATTTCAATTCCTTTGCCATTTTAGCTCAAGGGTGCAAGAGATAGTGCTATTGAAGAGAACCAGAAGCTTCTGTCCTTTGACAATAAGTTTTTGGAACATTTTTCAGCACAACTTGTGCATTCCAAAAGCAAGAAACTTTCCATTTCTTGGTGAAGTCTACTAGCCTCTGAATTGTTATTTTTTGTTTTTTTTTTCTCCAAACTGACTACAGGTTAGAGTGGAAATTTGGTAATGTTTTACCATATGCCAGTGACACAAACATCACTGCTAGTGAAGTTGCAATTTGGAATTGCAGTCCTGAGACTATAAAGCATCGCAAGCAATCTGAACTTCAGTTATTCCCTCTGTGGACTGTGTAAGTCAGTAAAGTAGACATACCCAAAGCATACCGAACCTAGAATCAGAATTAACAGAGCTGCACTGCAATGGCAACTCTCTCTGTTTCCACTTCCTGTGCAAAATCATTTAAGCCTCTGGAGGTAATACAAATGAGAAAGAAAAAAGTTCAAAACTTAACAATGTCTATAATAATATAAAATAGTATAACTAATGTTTTTATTTGCACATGGTGCATCATCTCCTCAAGGGCTTCTAAAAGAAACGGGCACTAAAGTGTAATTTCATTCATGGATTAGGGTTTCATTTCTATTATCTTACTCTGATGGTATTTCATGGGAAGCAGAGGCTTTGCTTGCCCCTGTCAAAAACAAAAGCTGAAGGTTCAGAGTGGTTTTTTGCACTTTGTCATAAAATCAGATGGAAAGTGCACACCTGAGGCTTGCAGGTCCTTCCACAGACAGGTAAGTGGATTACACTTCTGCCACTATCTGAAACTGAACTTAAAAAAACCCCTCAAAATCTAACCAAAAATCTCATGTTTGCTCAGGAGGTTAAGTCTTGGAAGTCTCTTTTTTGTACAATCAGTTGTTGAGAAAATAAAAATGCTTCTTACACAAGGGAAAGGAAAAGAGTCTTCGTACCAGAAACAGGGACAGCCCTAGCAGTATTTCCTGAGGACAGAAGTAAGGAAGAGTCAAATAGCTTTTCTACCACTTTCTTATTCAACATTTTTTTTCTTCAGAGTGGGAGGGCTCATTTTGGACTCTAGAGTTGCTAGATTTACTCTTGAGTAGGTTCCCTTCCACTGTGGAGGCTTCCTTGAGGAAACATGGGAATCCTGCCAAAATGTAATTGGGGCAACTGGTCCCAAAGTAGACTGCCAACTCAAACTCCCATTTGTTAGCGAAACACAAGTCAGTTAGCAGTAGGTAACTCATTCTCATAAGTTTCTCCAGAGATCACTTAAATTCTTTGGTTATCATTCAGCGTCTGCAGGGCTGATCATAACACAGCATTTGATTGCAGAAAGAATGGAGATCTTAGTTATGTGCTGCAGAAGGGGAGCCAAAAAGTCAGGATTTCATTGTTTCAACTGAATCTTCAGTGAGGCAAAGCTAAATGCTTAAGTCAGACTGCAGCTGCAGAAGAAAAGTATTAAGGCAACATTGTCAGAAGCGGCTATGGGAAACAGAAACACAGGGTTCCAATTCCATGGGAATAGATTACATAAATTCAATTAATCTTAAAAAATCTCTGAAGTTTTAGAATAAACTGGTCAAGGCTGTAGACATCTAGAGCTCTCAAACAGCATGTTTCTAGCATCCAGAGAAGCAACAGACAATATTCATAGGCAGAAGATGGAAAAACATGGAAAAGATCAGCAATAAAATTTGCATTTATTTGGAAATTATTTGCTTAGGATATATTTATTTGCCATCACACTGTAGTATTTTTGTAAACACTTTGAAAATGGATAGAGTTCTAATTAACAATTCTAGTTAACTAACAAATTCAGGAGAATTTGAGTCTTTCCAAGGTAACAAAATAAAAAGGTTGTTTTCCAAATACAAAATTAGAAGGCTTTCCCAGGATCACACATCCTTATGGCTGAACCTTAGCCCATCTCTCAACCCCTGTCTTCCCCAAAACTTCCCTAGACTGCTAGAATATACTCTAATCACATGATAATCCTATATCATGCAGCAAGGGGAAAAAGTAATGAAAATTCACTTGAATTCAGTAATGAAAAATCACTTGAATTCTGTGTAAGCCAGAGAGAATTACGTAAACCATAATGAAACATGTCTTTTACTTTGCTTCTAGCCAAATGGGTATCACAACCAGTTTTAATTCCAGTTTAGACTTAAGCTAAACACATCCATCCAAGACACATCCAGGATTAAAAAATTCTGTTTTTTAAATAAGAATTGTTGACTGTCAGGAGAATGGAAATGCAGATAATATATGTTCTGATAAACCTTAAAAAGGTGTATTTTAGAAAAACTATAAACACCATTAATCAGTTAAAATAATTAACTCCATCTACAGAAAACTATATGACAGGATATACAGCATAAGGAAGTATAATTTTTCTATCTTGCCACCTTCATTTGCACCAGAACAACTACCATGGGTGTAATTTCTGAAGGAATACTTCAGGTAGCTTTTACTTACCCACACAACCCACTCCAGTAGGATTCAGCTGGAAGTCTGGAGGGCAATTACACTCATACCTTCCAGGAGTATTTACACAAAGACCATTAACACAATTAATGGGATCAGCACATTCATCGATATCTAGAATAAAAAGATTACATTTATAAATCTGCTCACTTGACAGAAAAGAAGAACAATTTTGCTTTTTAAGACAAAGTGGAAGATTTCAAATGCAAGTGAATTTTAGCTAATAATTCATGAAACATTTAGGAATAAACTTTATACAGCTGCATATTTAAGAAACCATTATTTTTATTATATTCTTAAACCAACTCCAAAGCATGCACTTCTACACATTGTTTGTTTAGTGGGGAAGAATGCAGTCTCACTGTTGTAAGAGAACACAACGCATGTTTTGTGAACTCATCTTTAAATTCACTTGATGCAATTAAAAATAAAGAGTAAGTCTTCACATATTTCTGAACAGAAGAGTATACCTGTACAGTTTCCCCCAGTTCGATCCAGTTCATAGCCATCATCACAGATACAATGAAACATCCCCGGCAGATTATTACAGGTACCAAATACACATATGTTCTGGAAGGAGCATTCATCGATGTCTGAAGAAATACATTAAGAACAGAAAGTTATATATCACTACCATATTAATATTACAATAGCGTGTTGTACTACTAAAAGCAAATAAAGACATATGTAACTTTAAAAAATACTTAAAAAGACAACACTATGTAATCACTTTTGGTTTTGTGTAGAATGCTATAGCTAGGGATTTGGGAGGCATTCTTCATTAAGCTGTTTGTTACTAATTCCTCTTTTAGTTAGAGCACTATTTTCAAAATACTATTCTCAGGAAAAAAAAAAAAGCATACTAAGAAGAAAGAGAAGGAGTAGGCATCGATAGTTACTTATATCTCCTCGGAAAAAAAAATACAGAAGAAAAGAATGTAAGAAGTAAAAATCATTTATTATTTTTTCAAGCCCATGTTAAACCAGCTATATAGTAACTACATATAGGTGAGCTAAAATGCATGTAAAGGGTTGTCTGTGTGCCCATGTAAACTGAAGATGAAATAAATTTGAAAGACACTGACAGAAAATTAGATGACTTTGTCAATTAGAGTGCTAGAAAAAGAGCTAAATATTACAGCACAGAGTGCAAAGTTAAGGTTTTAGACACAAACTATAAAGACTTCTGAGATGAAGGTAAGTAAGAGTAGAAAAAACCCCTGCATCTACTGTCTGATAGCAAGACTTTTCAGTTGCCAAAATAAAGCAGCTGTGCAAAAGGATACCATGTCCTAGCAAGCTATTTTTAGCAGAGACAGGAAAGTGAAAAGTATTAATACCGTTTTACAATGCACAGCTAAATCTTAATTTGAAATCCTGTGTACATTGCTCTGTCCAAGAGTGATGAACTAAAATTGGATGAGGTGTAACAAAGGGATATTAAAATGATTAGAGTAATGCAATATCTATTTTGAACGTGGCTTCCTTGACTTACCCAAAGCTTGAGAAGTGATATAATGCCTCTTTATAGGAACATATGCGAAGGGGTAACTTTTGAGGGGAAGACAGAGATAAATTTTTAAGGGAAAATTAAGATTAATGCCTAATATCCAAAAGTCTTGAGTAAATTCAAAGTGGAAATTAAAGGAAAGTTTCTACGTATCTTGGAGTACAGCCATGGAATAACCTCCAAATCAGGTCATGAGCTTGTGTTCAGACAAAGCTTTATGGAGTTATGGAAAAGACTGTATCGTTGCGAAGCTAATGTACTGACAACTCAAGGGATTTCTGAAGAAAATGGATTAATTATTTGTATTACAATTATGGTCCTAAATCCAGGCTTTGAATTTTGTCCCTAGATTGGATAAATCAGCCAAGGAGTCACCTTATCATAGGACAAATTAATATTCAACTTGAAAAACAAACAAACAACTTATTTTAAGTATTCAGCACCCAGATCTTTTAGTTCTCCAACAGCACTATTTAATCTATGGAATGCTTCAGCTCTCTGTTGGAATCACAGTAATACACCGATATACCAAGCATTTTTTCCACAATTCTTCATTCATTTTTCATAGCATCATTGTGGACCAATTGAAAAGCCAAATGTTGGTGACCTGCTGTGCCAAGAATGAGATTCATATCACATTGTTGTGCAAACATTGATTGGCTGGTATCTATCTGGAGATTTTTGATAGAACATTGGCACGATTACAATATGACTAACTAACTTGCTTGAAGAAATTATTTATATGTGAAGCATGTGTTGGATATTCTGCTTCCAGGTTGAGGTCCTTCCAGCACTTTTTGTTGTTTGCCTTGTAGTAGTCAATCCAAACTCAGAAAACAAACTTGAAGTACCAGTGGCTTACCTTGGCAGGACTTGCTGTCCGAGGCAGGAGTGAATCCCATCTCACACTCACAACGGTAGGCACCAGGGACATTCAAACACTGTCCATTTTCACACAGATTAATATTTTCTGCACACTCATCAACATCTGTGGGAGACAGAAAATTTCTTTGAAACTATGTTTCACTAGCAAAATACAAATAGTATTATCCTGATGTTCAAAATAACAGTGCTGTTGAGTATTGTTGATATAAAACATTTACATCGGAAGGTGAAGCAAATTGAAAGTATGCAGAAAAGCACAGTGTAATTTCCAAAATTATTCCTTTTATCCTGCTGTGATTCCTTACTCCTTTTCATTAACACAGATTCATTTTTTTTTTAAAATAATGCAAGGTTTTCAGATTCAGTACTATTAGTTTTGTCAAATAAGTTAAACACTTTGCTTACAAAGTCAAAACTTTGTCTCCTGGAGTATATTGCTATGTTACTTTAACATAAAACAGATTCAAAAGGCAAATTTTCTTAAGTGAATCATACACAGAAAATTATTTTCATATGCATTTTAGAAAATACTCTTTGAGGGTTATGAACTTTACAACTACCATTTGCACCCTACTGGGGATTCTTCTAGTACGTCCCAAAAGTTGGAAGGCATTCACCACTACAGTCACCATAAAGACTCAATAATTTTGTCAGATATGCTTATGATTGTCCAAAGAAATTTTCAATTTACTTTCTTCATTATATTATTCGATCCCTAGTATCCCATTTGACTTTTAAATAACAGAAGATCTGAAGCATACCGTGTTAATAACAGGGATGAAAGTTCTTGTTCATTAACTAGAAACTTTCAACATATAAACAACTAATATTTGAGGATCCTATTCTGAAATAAAAGAACTTACAATACTAACCAGAAGACTGTCTTGTTAAGGTGTAAAGTAATTTTGATTTAAAATTAGCACACTGGCTAATAATGAAAGCATTCACATTAGTTTATAGGTGTTTTACTGTAATTAGAATGCATTCCTTCAAACCTTCAAATTTGCTGACCACATAGAGGACACGTTAGAAGCCAAGAGCAGAGATATAGTTGGACCTCCTCTCTGTAAGTGATAAAACCCACAGTAACTCAATACTCGGACATTAATGTTTAATATAAAATCTTTACACTTTATATAATCCTTTACACATCAGTTTATCCTTGAATCACTTGCTGTGTGCTTAATAATGTTCATTCTTACTAGTGAGCATTTACCAACAAATTTAAATAGAGAGAAAAAAAGGGCAATATTTTTCAACTGTAATTTGCTTTTCTTTTTAAAAAGTCTTACGTTAATGACTAAATCCTGTTCAACTAATATATAGTGAGGGGAAAACAGATTATGCTTTCCTTGTCAGAGACAGACCTGGCCTACAAGACAGAAAACATAAAAGAGAGCTGGTGTTTTCTGTTCTTGACTAGAGAGTTTGCTGCTGTAAGCAGCACATGCACATTCAAAAAAATTGGTGTGAAGAGGAGGAAGAGGAAGAAGCAGAATGGAACTTCACCCAACAAACAGGCCCAGGAGGCCCAATTTGGCACACAAATCAAAAGAACAAGGAGTTGCCTTTGTTAGCATTTCTTCAGCAGAAAAGAATCTTGATCTTAAAAGACACTTTTACATTTATTACCTTGTACTTTGGGCTTAGATCTAATTTGCGAAGCTTCAATACAACAGAAGTAATCAGTGACAAGTCAGCTTTCACAGAAATTTCTTACCAGAACAAGTAAATCCATCCCCAGTGAATCCCTCTGCACAGGCACAGCGGTATGACCCTGGAGTGTTCACACACTGAGCATTCATGCTGCATTGGTGGGTTCCATTGGAGCATTCATCAAGATCTGTAAAAGAGTGCAAGGAGTAACAGAGCAGTTAGTATAATTGGCTTAGAATTAACAAACTGTCAAGCTAACAGGTGCAACTGCAAAGATGAATTATGTCTCCATAAATATACAAAGTTCTAATTAGAAGAAACAGCATCAATCTATAGTGATTTCATTTTAATATTTGTTCCTTTAAATTAAAATGCAGGGGATTGGCTAAAATGTTTCAAAGCAAGAGATGGAATTCAGTTGACTTGTTACTTGAATGTTAATATCCTGTTAAAGAACTTAAATTAAAAATGAGTTAAAAAACCCAATGAACTAAAGAAATACAGTGAGGTTAAAATCTGTCATTCATTTGCAGAATCTTCTCAAGTAACACATGAATGTGACATTCATGAAGAAAGAAAAAGAGAAAGAAAAAGAAAAAGAAAAAGAAAAAGAAAAAGAAAAAGAGAAAGACAAAGAGAAAGAAAAAGAGAAAGACAAAGAGAGAGAAAAAGAGAAAGACAAAGAGAGAGAAAAAGAGAAAGACAAAGAGAGAGAAAAAGAGAAAGACAAAGAGAGAGAAAAAGAGAAAGACAAAGAGAGAGAAAAAGAGAAAGACAAAGAGAGAGAAAAAGAGAAAGACAAAGAGAGAGAAAAAGAGAAAGACAAAGAGAGAGAAAAAGAAAAAGAAAAAGAAAAAGAAAAAGAAAAAGAAAAAGAAAAAGAAAAAGAAAAAGAAAAAGAAAAAGAAAAAGAAAAAGAAAAAGAAAAAGAAAAAGAAAAAGAAAAAGAAAAAGAAAAAGAAAAAGAAAAAGAAAAAGAAAAAGAAAAAGAAAAAGAAAAAGAAAAAGAAAAAGAAAAAGAAAAAGAAAAAGAAAAAGAAAAAGAAAAAGAAAAAGAAAAAGAAAAAGAAAAAGAAAAAGAAAAAGAAAAAGAAAAAGAAAAAGAAAAAGAAAAAGAAAAAGAAAAAGAAAAAGAAAAAGAAAAAGAAAAAGAAAAAGAAAAAGAAAAAGAAAAAGAAAAAGAAAAAGAAAAAGAAAAAGAAAAAGAAAAAGAAAAAGAAAAAGAAAAAGAAAAAGAAAAAGAAAAAGAAAAAGAAAAAGAAAAAGAAAAAGAAAAAGAAAAAGAAAAAGAAAAAGAAAAAGAAAAAGAAAAAGAAAAAGAAAAAGAAAAAGAAAAAGAAAAAGAAAAAGAAAAAGAAAAAGAAAAAGAAAAAGAAAAAGAAAAAGAAAAAGAAAAAGAAAAAGAAAAAGAAAAAGAAAAAGAAAAAGAAAAAGAAAAAGAAAAAGAAAAAGAAAAAGAAAAAGAAAAAGAAAAAGAAAAAGAAAAAGAAAAAGAAAAAGAAAAAGAAAAAGAAAAAGAAAAAGAAAAAGAAAAAGAAAAAGAAAAAGAAAAAGAAAAAGAAAAAGAAAAAGAAAAAGAAAAAGAAAAAGAAAAAGAAAAAGAAAAAGAAAAAGAAAAAGAAAAAGAAAAAGAAAAAGAAAAAGAAAAAAGAAAAAAAAGAAAAAAGGAAAAAAGAAAAAGAGAAAAAGAGAAAAAAGAAAAAAGAAAAAAAGAAGAAAAAGAGAAAAAAGAAAGAAAATTAAAAGAGAAAGAAAAGAAAAAGATCGTAGTTTCCTTCCCCTCAAGGGCATGTTTGATGGGAATGGCCATATGAGTCACACCGGCTAGTGCTATGGGGTAGCCAACAGTCTCACTGGTCTGCAGAGTAGTCTCCGGGCAGGAGACTCGATACCCAGAAGCTATTCTAACTAGGAGGATGCTGTTGGAAAAGCTTTTTAAAGTTTTCTCCTTCAAATGGGACTTTTTATTTACTTAGTAGAACCCCACATATTTTTAATTAAATTACAACAACAGAGAGGCCTTCCCCCTTTTCTCAGATATGGCTTAAAAAGCTTAGAAAGTCTGGCCTGCAATAAAATCTCACAATGTGGTACTTTTTCTTTCCCATATTACACCAATAAAACCTAATTCTTAAATGAAGTTCCTCTTCCACAGATCCCAAAATGTTCTGAAAAAGGGTATATATTACAATCTTTTACACACCAAAGTAAAAAATGCTACTCTAGCAACCCACAAAAACTAGAATCAAGTTTTCCATACCTCAAGTTTAATCTGCTTTATATTAGGGGCTATAAGCTAGATATACTACAGGACATTTACAAAAAATGGTATTAAGTAACAGAAATAATATCTTACTGGCAGGAAATCACAAAACAAATTCCATTTTATTTTTGACCGCTTTTATTTTTTATTTCACACATTCTAGCAGTTGTATGTAAACTTAAATAAAATACATAGTTAATTCCCAACAAAGAGGAAGGCAGGCAAAAACA